CCTACCAACCGACCGACCAGTCGGTCGGACGGACGATGCACGCGTGTGTGGTGGTCTATTAGGTTCTCGCTCTCCCACAAAAGTGGGTCACCCCAAGGGGCATGCCCTTGGGAGAGAGGCTCCTATCTTTATACACATTTCACCAAGTAAAACTACCAATGTGGTAGTTTTTCCAACTTGAGACTCTATAGCTTTCAAAGCTATTCACTCATTTCCAACAATCCCCCACTTGAATAGTTTTGAAACTATCTCTGAGCATTAACCGTTTCATAAGATCGGGCATAAGCTAAAGTATCGCGAAGATTTGAACCTTAGCGTAGTGGTTACACTTCCGATTTCATAAGGGTGACTCGTAGTCTTGAACCCTATCTCAGATAGTGTAGCACATCGGATCTTTTTATTGAGTTGTGTTCTCTTCTTAGCCCATGCGTTTATGGCCATGCACGTAATCCTGGTTTAGTAAACGCTCTAGCAACTTTGTGCCTCCAAAGTTCCATAGGGAGCGGCCCCACTCCCATATTCACATAGGTGAATCTATCAGAAGTACCCCCAAAGTAAAGTACTCCACCCCACATAGGGTATAGATCTCATTAAGAGTTATTAACTCATCCTCCATTGCTTTGGGATTCATGCTTCACTATGCATGAACTTTTCGCATACTACTCATGACTTGTTATTACCCATTGAACCCATTTCTTGGGATCTCCAGTCTATTGGGTCGGGTTACCATCACTTGTAGTCCGTGGTTTGGTAGGCATAAGTCCCATACCCGTGGCGGTATTCTGGACTTTCTCTCTAGATAATCCTTTCGTCGAAGGATCAACTAGATTTTTTTCGGATCTTATATGATCCACCCTCACTGCTTCTATCGTTAGAAGTTCTCTTACTGTACTGTGCTTACAACGAATCTGTCGTTTCTTTCCGTTATAGAACTGCTTCTCAACTTTAGCGATAGCTACGGTACTATCACAATGGATCAATACCGGAGGGACCCGCCTTTCCCATAGGGAAATCTCTGACAACAATCCTCTCAACTAACTTGCTTCTTCACTAGCCGTTGCTAGTGCTATCATCTCTGATTCCATAGTTGATTGAGCTAGGATTGTTTGTTTCTTTGACTTCCAAGACACAGCTCCACCAGCGATGTTAAAAACATACCCGCTGGTTTCCTTGGAGTCATCTGATAGGGTATTCCAATCCGCATCACTATACCCTTCTAGTACAGCAGGAAACCTTTGATAGTGTATACCAAGGTTTGTTGTTCTCTTGAGATATCTCATGACCCTCTCTATAGCATTCCAATGCTCTCTACTAGGACAACTGTTAAACCTGCCAAGCAATCCCACAACATATGCAATGTCTGGTCGAGTGTAATCCGCAGCATAACGGAGACTGCCAATGATGCTAGCATATTCTGATTGTCTTACACTGTCTCCAGTGTTCTTAAATATCTTTACACTAGCATCATACGGGGTACACGCAGTTTACAGTCGAAATAGTTATATTTCTTCAAAATCTTCTCTATGTAGCTAGATTGATCTAGAGAATAACCATTTGTTGTTCTGGTTATCTGGATTCCAAGAATAAACTTTGCTTCTCCCAGATCTTTCACCTCAAAGCTCTCTTTCAACATGGCTTTTGCTTCATTGACCACGTGAATATTTGTACCAAATATCAACATTTCATCTACATACAAACATATGATAGTGCAAGTGTTATTCTCTCACTTGCAGTAAATACACTTGTCACTTTCATTCACCTTAAAGTCATGTGAGATAACGAGAGTGTCAAACCTCACATGCCACTGTTTTGGAGCCTATTTCAAACCATATAATGATTTGTCTAACTTACAGACTTTTGAGGCATGTTCGGGGATAACAAACTCTTCTGGTTGTTCCATATAGATTTCTTCATCCAGATCACCGTTCAAAAAAGCATTCTTAACATCCATTTGGTGTACCACGAGATTGTTCAGGGCAGCAAGACCTATCATAACACGAATGGATGTTATTCTTGATACTGTTGAATAGGTATCGAAGAAATCTATATTCTCTCTGCCTGTAGCCCTTAACTACTAGGCGAGCTCGGAACCTTTCGATTGCATCATTAGGTTTCCTTTTCGTTTTTAGAACCCATTTATTACCTAAGACTTTGCAGCCAGGAGGTAAGTCTGTTAGATGCCAAGTCTTATTAGCTTCTAACGATTCCATTTCATCTATAACGGCCTAATTCCAAAAATCTGCATCTATAGAAGTTAATGCTTCCTGCAAACTTTTTGGATCTTTGAGGGTGTATACTGTAGTAAAATCATCACCAAAATCTTTAGAGATTCTAGCTCTTTTACTTCTTCTGAGTTCATCCTCATATCCAACACCCCCACTAGTTCCATAATCTCTAATAGCGGGTAGTACATTACCCCCACTATTTCTCGTTTTAAATGGAAATCGTGTCTCAAAGAAATCAACATCAATGGATTCTAATATAGTATGAGCATTCGAATAATAGAATCTATATGCCTTACTATTGGCCGCATAGCCAACGAAGACACATTCATATGCTCGACTAGCCAACTTAATCCTCTTAGGATCCGGAATTCTTACGTAGGCCAAACAACCCCACGTTCTTAAATAGGACAGATTAGGTGGCTTATTCTTCAAGATCTCGTAGGGTGATTATTTTCTATTTGTTTTTGGAAGACGATTTAGCACATAGCAAACCGTCAACAAAATATCACCCCACCAAGAAGAAGCAGCTCCAGAATTGAGCATAATAGCCACAATTAATTATGTAAACGTCCTATTTTTCCGCTCAGCTTTACCATTCATTTCTGGAGAATATGGTGCCGTGGTTTCATGAATGATATCATGTGAGCTATAGAATTCCTTGAAGGGATTAGAGTCATACTCTGATCCTCTATCACTCCTAAGTCATTTTATCTTTCGATTGCACTGATTTTGAAATTCAACCACAAATACCTTGAACATATCAAGGGCTTCACTTTTGTTTTTCATCAAATAAACAAAGCAATAATCAGAGCAATCATCTACGAAAGTGATAAAATATCTCTTGCCAGACCTAGTTAACGTCCCATCTAGTTCACAAATATCAGAATGAATAAGTTCTAAGGGTTCTGATTCTCTACTCACAGATTTATGGGGTGTCTTCGTTATCTTAGCTTGGCTACAAAAATCACATTTATCAAATTCATTCATTGAGAGTTTAGGGATATGTCCTAGCTTGCTTAAATTCTTCACAATTCGTGTGTTCACATGACAAAGACGAGCATGCCAAACATTCAAATCACACACCATGTAAACTGAAGAATTCATCTTATTAATTTCGACATTCAACTTGAACATCCCATTACATGCATATCCCTTTCCCACAAAACTCCCATTCTTAGTAAGGGTATACAAGTCTGCCCGATAGATTGATTAAACCCAGCCTTATTAAGAAGATATCCCGAATAAGATTCTTCCTTATCTCCGGAGTGTGCAACAAATCCTTGAGCACCATCTTCTTCCTAGAGGTGAAGTTCAGCTCCACTTCACCAGAACCAGCAACCATAGTGGTGTGAGTAGTCCTCAACAGCACTTTCTTGTCAGCAGGTGCTTCTGTGTATGTTTTAAACATATCACGATTGTTGCATACATGCTTCAATGCACCTGTATCCAGCCACCATCCTTTTGAGTCACCGGTGAGGTTGACTTCAGCGATCATATCCGTGATCATGGCTATCAAATCCTCTTCTGTCAAGTTAACCATGGCCGCAGCAGCAGGGTTATGCTTTTTCCTGCACTTTTTTGCCATATGACCCGGTTCACCACAGTTATAGCAGATAAACGGTGGGTCATTCTTAGAGGTTTGGGCCATGACCCTTTGGTTACCTCGAGAGGCACCATTCTGGTGGGGGCGGACCTGCTAGTTCTTATTCTTGAAACCTTTCTGGTTAGGTTTAAGAGCTCTAGGGGTGGGTCGTTTAGCAGTGACGACCATCACCTCTTCTTTCATATCCTATTTGAGAGACTCTTTCTCAATCCTTATGCGAGTAATCAAGCTTTCCAGTGAAAATTCTTTGGTTTTATGTCTAAAGCATATTCTTAAAATCTTTCCACGAAGGGGGCAGCTTATCAATAATGCAAGCAACTTGAAATTCGTGGGATTGAAATTCGACGGACTTGTCATCCACCATCCGGTACCGCAGGTAGCGGCTGACAACATACTTCTTAGCTCCAGCCTCCTCCGTGTCGTACTTCTTTTGGAGCGCATCCCAGATCATCATTGCGGTGTTTTTGTTGTCCGCATAGTAGTCGTAGAGATCGTCTGCCAGGTCGTTGAGGATGTAGTTCTTGCACAGGAAGTCGTACTCCATTTCCTTGGCAGAAGCAGCCCTCTCCTCATCGGTCGCTTCTTCCGGCAGTTCGACGGGCATGCTGGAGAGGCAGTGTGCCAACTTCTTGGTTGTCAGGTAGAACTCCATCTTTTGTCTCCAGCGACGGAAGTTGACTCCAACGAAGCGAAAGGGTCGATTGATATCGACAGCACCAGATCCGACCATGTTGTTCTGTTCAGTCGACATAGAAGCAGCCGAACGTCTTAAAATTAATAGGAACGGAACAACAACAAGAATGAGGTTACCGAATCTAGAGCTGAGTCGCGGACTAGGTCGCTTTCTTTAAGACGTTCGCAGCACTGCCCTCGATGCGCACGACAGACTATCAACCGTTCGTCTCCAGGATAAAACAACTCTTCTCAATACTCGCGGTTTTGTGCGAAAACCCGAGTTCTCTAAACACTCTCTCTATTGTGTTTATGCTTGTTGTGGTGTGTTTAGATGGACTAGGAAGGCGGCTATTTATAGGAGCCAAACCTCAAGGAATATACCCTCTTACTTGGGGAATAAGTCGGATTAATTAAGGAAGATAATTACTTCCTTAATTAAAACCCGCCTGTAAGATAATTCCTGGCGCGATTATCCTTCGAATATTCCTTTTAATCGATTATCCTTAGAATATTCATTCGAATAACCGATTAATAATTAATTATCTAATAATTAATTTCGTTCGGAATTTCTCTAAAAAATATATAGTCTCAAGTGAACCAACCGGCCGGTGCGTACGCGTGTGGTGGTCTGTTAGGTCCTCCCTCCCCCACAAAAGTGGGTCACCCCAAGGGGATGCCGTTGGGATAGAGGCTCATATCTTTATACACATTTCACCAAGTAAAACTACCAATGTGATAATTTTTCCAACTTGAGACTCTATAACTTTCAAAGCTATTCACTCATTTCCAACAGCTACTTCCCCCGCCGCCAGGGATCCAATCGTGGCCGTGACCTTGACCGGGAAGAAATAGTTCCCGTAAAAGCCGTCGGGCAGCGGAGGGTCCAGCAGCTGGCGGCAGTTCGCGAAGAACAAGAGTTGCACCTCCACGTGAGACCGATCGCGGTGGATCTGTGCCTCCAGAGGCTGTCGACGACGGCCTGTTGAGCAGATTTTCCCGCCGGTGGAGCTGCAAGATTTCTCTGCCCCCAACAATTCCAAGCTTTCTCGAACTACAAGATTGAGGTGCCTCGACAAGGCGACAATAATCATCGATCAGTCGGTTATCGACGAATAAGGGAAGGCAAGGAATCCATGGAGATTGTGCACTCTACGACAGATGGAAGGATCAAGCTATTGGCGGCGACGTTTCAAGTTTGGGTATCGGGAATGGCTTGCTTTATGCCGATGGAGCATTAACAGAGTTCATCAAGGAGTTAATTAAGCTTCTTTAACAGTGCGATTGTGAGCTTTCTCTCATGGACGGAGTGGATGATTATGGATTGGAATATGGAGATTGGATCGTGAGGATAATTCTCGGATTAGGGTTACAGAGAGGGCAACATATTTGAGACTGTTCTCGGATTGAGTTTGTATTTCTATTGAGTATAATTTTTTGGTGGGGTTGAGTTTGGTTTGGTTGGATATAATTGGTTTGATTTATTGATTTATTATTATTATTTGCTGATGACATGTCGTGCTGACTGGAGTAAATTAACGGATTTTTGGATGGAGATGGACGAAATTACCTTTTTGTTATTAGTCCAAACATATGTTACCAAAACGTGAAAAATAAAAGTTTGTGACCGTTTTGTACAAAGTGAATAGTTTTGTTACCATTTATGATAATTACCCATACCCATGTCCCGCCTCACACTACTGCGGGTTGGGTAATACCCGTCCCATCACGGACCAGATCGAGTAATACACACGGGGCGGGTTCAAATTGCCATCACTAATGGTTAGTAGCTAGCCAATCGACAAAAATTTTTCTTATAATCGAATCGATCTGGTTAGCGATTAGTATGACAATTAACCATTAACCACCAACAACCTCCAAACGTCACTTTTTATTTTCTTTTAATAATAAAAAATAATCATACAAAATTAGTCAAAATAATTTAACTAAATTCTATATTGTTTACATACAATAATAATTATAAAAAATAACATCAATACATACATCATCCATCCTGAATTTGTAATCCAATTCCAAATCATAAAAAAACATAAAATAAAATACAATCATACTTCTTCATTCAACTAATTGTGAGAAATAAGATTAGTTTGTGAAATAGAGCACGAGAACTAGCCTGGTGTAGAGTTGTCAGTTGTCACCTTCTGTATCTATCTATCTATAAATAAATATAAAGCAGTTGTCAGTTGCACTTTCCGGTCGACCTCAGTTAGGATTAGGTCGACCTCATTTAGAATTCGGTCGACCTCATATAGGATCTGGTCGACCTCATTTAGGATTCGGTCGACCTCATATAGGATCAAGTCGACCTAATTTGTAGTTTCAGTGTAAAAACAGTTCATGGTGCCTACTTTGGATATTCATATCATACAATTGTCTAGATGGAAATTGAAGACTAATGACTTGTTTTGAAGCTGGAGTGTCCCTCTACATATTGAAGTGATTGAGAGCTCGATAGGAAGTTCAGAAGACCATTTTTGAACCTCATCAAAAGGCTATGCCAAAACTGGGAAACTGCCTGGAAATGGCTAAGTCTGGAAACGTGTTTGTGAAGCCTATTTCGGAGCTCAATTCGAGAAGCATGAATGCGAGTCGAGTCCAGGAGCCTCTACCACGTTAAATTAGGTATGTTTTTATACACATTCAAGGCATTCGATGAAAGATTGGATATCTGTAAGGCTTCAAATAAAAGGGTCGAAGTTGCTACGAAAGCTGTTTTTCTGGCAGACTTCGAGCACAAGCAAGCTACCAGAAAAACAGCCTTCGTAGCAACTTCGAACCTTTTGTTTGAAGCCTTAAAGATATTCAATCTTTTATCCAAATTGAGCTTTTGTTTAGGAGTAAAAGAGAATAAATCAGAGGTTATATCTAAAGAATTAGTAGTATAAAACAAACTAATAACCAAAAGAAACTAAAAATCCAGAAAAAAAATGGTAATTACCCGTCATATAGTATATAAAAAATCATAAAAACAGAAAACCCCAAAAGTTGCGGATGGGTCTCCAAGACTGACGTGGAGAGAGTCATTTTATGAAACCCTTTAATATATTTATTTAATTTAATTTAATAAAGAAGATTATAGCTCTCTTAGTGATTGGAACAAAATAATATTGTTTATTAGTAAAAAAAATTATTTGTTTATTTTATGCTTCTCTAATTTTTCCCACAAAAATCCTGCGTAATAGCCGAACAGCTCGGATTGAATGACCGGCGTGGTCTCTTGATCGTCGGCGGTAAAGTGTAGGTCTACACCTCGGATAGAATTGACCGTTTCACGCTTAAAGTTCATCTTCTTATCGGTTGTCGCCCTCGCCCCTGATGATGATGGGTATTGGTTATGGCCGAACAATGGCAACGGGGTGGTCGATTGTCACGGTAGGGGCGATATTGGGAATAATCGGGCAACGGGACGGGGTTGATGACGGTCAGAAGATGGTTCGGGATTTGAGTACACTTGGCCAATCAGATGGTGGAAATTGAAACCAAAAGGGCAAATTGAACCGACGACGGTTTAAACAAGGGGGAGGAGCCTGAATTAGAGAGGGGGAGCCTTAATGACGATGGTGATTTCGAGGGTGTCGGGATCTGGATGGTGAGTGGTGGCGGTCGACCAGGGACAACAACGACGATGGTGGTTAATTGGCACAACAGAGATAATGATGGGACGACCGGACGACGACAATTGGGTTGATGACGCTGATGAAATCTGACCATCGAAGATTCGGGATTTGGGTGGTTATGTCTGATCGGCGGCAGCGACGATGGTGATTGTGGATTGCTACTGCGGAAACAATGCTAGCGATGATGAACAGAAGGCTGCTTCGGGGCTGATGACGATGGTGATTTTGCCTGACAAAGTTGGGATTTTGGTGGTGATGTCAATCGACAACAACGACGATCGAGGTGGGGGATTGCTTCCACGAAAGTGTTGCATGGGTTTACAATGGAAGGACAAAAGGAGTGAAGGGAACCGGCTGTGCTGCTTTGTGTTTTGTGGCTCAAGATAGGGTGCCTAACCATGGGTTATGCACCCATCAATAACCAAATATGGACCCTTTATTTAGAAAATCCAAATCTAAGGATGGAGAATTAAAGATCATTTTTATTTTTTCTAGTTTTCTTAATTGACTCATATCTTTTTCGTTTTAACTCGGATTTTAATTTATTTGCACAGATAGAACGAGTTCATCGTGCTCTACAAAATGAGATCAATTTTCAATATTTTTTGAGAAAAAAAATTCTGGCCTCTCGGTACAAACTGCATACCATATGGTATCTTCTTCGTTTTTAATTCGTTTATGAAAAAGTTTGCACAGAAGGGACGAGTTCATCATGATCTATTGGATCTACAAATTTCCGGGTGAACAAATTACAGGACCAAAAATACCACACAATACCACCCTGGTACGGGGTGGTATTGTATGGTATCTTCTTCGTTTTTAATTCGTTTTTGAAAATGTTTGCACAGAAGGGACGAGTTCATCATGATCTATTGGATCTACAAATTTCTGGTTCAACAAATTACGGGACCAAAAAATACTACACAATACCATACAATACCACCCTGGTACGGGGTGGTATCTTGTGGTATACAAAGTTAAAAGTCGTAAATGAAAATTAATATACTTCTACTATCATGTATTCAACCATCCTACAGTCTTGGTTTGTTCATACCACCATGGTACGTTTTTCAAACTATAGGTATGCTTTTATTTCAATACCAGTCAATACCATATGGTATAGAATGGTAAAAAATGGCTCAATTTTTTTGTTCGAAAATATATTAAAGTGGATATCATTTTGAATAGCACAATTAATCTTATCTAACTGTGGAAAAAAAATTAAATTTTGACTTAAAATGAGTGAGAAATCGTCCGTCAAAGATTAAATAGGGGAAAATTAAAGGCTTTTCAGGAGAGAGAAGATGCTGATGTGGACGGGTTACTCATGGTTATTCACCATAAGGTTACTGACCTGATCCATTCCCGTGTTTTGTTACTTAATTTATGTTTTATTAATTAAACAACTAAACCGGAACCAGAGTCACCCAATAAATTACATACCCAACCATCTTAACCGGTTTGAATAATATGGCGGCATTAGTGCCGCCACTGCACCACAGAATTTCGGTCCAAGATAGGGTGCATAACCCATGGTTATGCACTCGTCAGTAACCCAACATGAGCCGTCGATCTGGAGCGAGGAGATCTAACGGCTGGGGTCGGAGCGGGGTGGGGTAGGGGTATTTTTGTTCATTATTTGAATTTATGTCTTTCCCTCTTTATTCCTTTTTGGTTATTCTCGGCCGAGCTGGAATTGGATTTATGAGATAGAATGAGAAGTAAACAGAGCAATCGAGAGCTTTTCTCCGAAGGATTACTCGATGGCGAGAAGGTCGGTGGAGGACACGATTCTTAGCTTAATCGGCGGCGGACTTGCAAGTTATTAGTTGTTAGGTTTTCTTCTTCTCTTTTCTTCTTCTTGCTCGAGGCTGTGGTGCGATTTGCTTGTGTTGAAGTTTCTACTGGTGGTTGTTTGGTCTCCGTCGAGGTAATTTATAGTTATAGTAGGATTTTATGTTTTCGCATTTATTCGGTTTTGTAATTTGTTTTTGATTTTGTGTATATATGATTTATCTGTGTTTTCTCTTTTGTGCTCTCTGTTTTCTGTTCTTGGTGATCTGTTTGTATAAGTTTGATCTGTTTTGTATAAGTTTGTTCAGTTGATTGATTCGTAGTTGAATTTATGTTTTGTGCAGGAATTTTTTGAATCTTCTCTGTTGACTCTGCTTTTTTTACTGCAATGAGTGATCTTAATCAAGGCGTCATTGTTTCTTTGAATGAATCTTATACCGGATCTAGTTCTTCACATAGCGTTGTTGAATCGGGAGGTAAGAATTTTAAATGCGTTTGGTAAGTTGAAGTTTGTATATATGTTATATCATACAATACCATACTGGTATTTTATGGTATTTTTGCATATGAGTGTTGTGTTTTATTTGTTGTAGAATGTTTTTATAGTTGTTGTGATTTTATGTTTCTGTATATATGTTATACCATAGAATACCATGTTATACCATAAAAAACCATACTAGTATTTGTAGAGTTTTTGAATGTAATAAACTTTACCATATTATACTATGGTGGTACTACATTTTGTACATAATTAATGTTTCATTCTTTTTATGTTTTAGGTTTTGATGGTATAGATCCTAATGTTCGAAGTTCCTGGAACAAGCTTGAGTTCGGTACAACTGATGATGCATATAGATTTTATGTGGATTATGGGAACTATAAAGGTTTTTGTGTGAGGATTTACCATTATTCGGCATGTCCGAAGCTTAATAATGGTTCAATGGCGGTTTATTATATAAAGTATTGTTGCAATAAGGAAGGCTGAAGGATTGGTGGTGAGAATAATCCTGCTAATCGTGGTTCTATTGATGTGAAGGATCGTGTTCGTCGTGTTCCAGAAATCAGGGGTGGATGTGATGGTGCCTATATTCGAATTAGGTGGTTTAGGGTGTTTAAGTGTTATAAGATTTATAAATGGTCTCCTCCTCGTCGGCCGCTTTCCCCCATCCATTCTCGATCTCAGATCTATCTACCCTGCCGGCCGCTTTCCCCCTCCTTTCTCCTCCGACACCGGTAAGCATATTCCGACCACAGTGAGCATATTCCGGCGACGGTGGCATATTTCGATGAGAAAATAGCATATTCCGGCAACGAAAAGCATATTCCGGTGACCGGATTACGGCGACCAAAATTTTGGGCAGCAAATTTTTATTTTATTTTATTATTGTTTAAACATAATTTTCATAATGACAATTATACCCATGCTTTGATTTTACACTAGGTCAACTGAACTAATAAAAAGTCATCACATCCCTACCTTCCTATTGATAGAAGACTAGTGTTGTCACTATAACAACACAAGGGGTGTTGTCATAGTAACCAGTCCCTTCAATCGAATATCCTTTAGATTCTTCACATGATATCTGGATGGTGATAGTAGTGCGGTGAGGCTAAGCAATAATTTTTAACGGGGAAAGAGAATTGTCGATTCTATTAGTTTCAATTAAAGAAGAACGTGATACTCGCTCACCTTATAGTTCGTCACTCTCCTTTTGTTTTACCAAAAAGTAAATGAAACAATAGTAGATTAGTAGTTGTCGGGGTCGTTTGGAAGTTGCGATTGTTTTGTTGAGATTGTCATTATGCATGTATTGTTTACAATGCATCGTTTTTTTGTTTTTTTAGCAGAAACAATACATGGATTGTTTCTGTGATGTGACAGAAACTATCACTCATTTTGAGTGATTGTTATATCTCAACTTTTAGTTGTGATTGTTGAGATTGTTTTGTCTCAGCTTTTAGCTGATGCGACATACACAATCACACATACCAAACGTTGTATTCTACAATGCATCAAATTCGACAATACATGTATAATATTATACATGCATTCTCAACAATACATCTATTTAACAATCGCAACTTCCAAACGACCCCGTCGTCTCTACAATTTACTCTATGCAAAGCAGGAAAGATGAACAAAATTTTATTGTGTAAATTCGAAACTCGTCATCCAGCATATTCTGTCAAAGGAAATTACACCCTCATAAGAAGGGCTTATGTGGATGGATTTTTTTAACATCCTTGCGTCAATGTCTTTTCTTGTTGCTCTTGAAGCTTCAACGAAGCTACCCTGATTAGGGAGGGGAAAATAGACCAGACTGTTAGCAAAATCGTGGTCTAAATCGAACCGCACAATTTGGTGCACACCATAGACCGTTAAGTAGGATCTAGTCTGTATTATTTGATATTTTGAGTTTTGGTATGGTCTGGTTTAGACCGCAATTTGCCGGACCAAACTGTGGACCCAACCGACTTGTCAATACGTTTTAGTAGCCCTTTCAACCATTCTCCCAACTCCCACAATGAGACCCAAGTCTCAACCTTAATTTTGAGAATCTCGTCCCCTCCTTCCTTCACAACCACATTTCACCAGAGAATGGAGACAATTGCTATGTTAGTGTTTATGACATTATGGTGCAAGTTGGAATGCTTTGACTTTGTATCTTTGTTATGTACTAAGATTTAGGGTGTTAAAATTATTCATGCGTGTTAGAATTTATATTTTAAACAAATAAATAATTTTTTTTCTTGGATATTGGTTCAATTTTTGTGTGGTTAACTAAACAAATTGTTAATTTTTCGTTGAGTGTGGTCTTTCTGGACCAGACTATACCGGACCAGACGGAATGCGTTAGGGTGGAAACTGAATTTCTAGTAGCCACCGTGGCTACATCAATATCCACCATTTATTTTCTTCTCTTTCCTCTTTTTTTAATCTTACGGTTAAGATTGACTCAGGATAATTTTGGAAGAAAAAAAAAAGGACCACACTTGATTATTCTATATATTCTACCCTAACCCTACTTCTACAGCCAAACTCACCGTAGCCGCAAGCTCTCACCCTCCCCGACGATGGCTTAGGGTTTGCTTGTCTGACGACTCCTTCCACGCCTCTTTCTCCGGCCACGGGCGAGTCACCAGTCGGATGGGTGGCGATCCGAGCAGCCCGACCACTCACCGTAACCTGCCCCTTCTTCTCCTTCATCCCTCCCTTTTATCGTTCCCACCCTGCACGCTCATAGCGACACCATTCCATCCCAAACTCTTCTTCTCTCTCGCGGATGGAATCTCTTCGGCGAGCTGTCTTCCCTCTCAACAGTAACCGCCGACAGAGTGACCACCAGATTTGATATCTAGCTCAGCTGCCGTTAGTTTTAAGATTTATTTTGGGAATTGCTTCTTCCTCTTCCGTTTCTCCGCATCAATGGCGAGGGTTTTCGATTCTGGCCGATGACCGTTTACTTCCCGGTGGAGATGTACATTGGTATGTTTTTTTTTAGGGTAAATACAATTTAATATCCAAACCTTTCATTTTAAACAATATTATATCCAAACCTTTTTTAAAACAATCTAATATCCAAATCGTCAACTTTCCGTTCGTTTGACCGTTAGTTGACACTTCAAAAAAGTTTTGTTTAGGGGAAATTGTCACAATACAACTTTGTTTTCTTGTTTTGACATTGCAGATGACTGAATATTTAGATATTCTATACCATCATGGTGGAGTCATGGACTTCTCGGGTTTGGAACTACGATATTTTGGTGGTTTTTCAGAGAAGATATCGATGGATATTGATGAAGTGTCGTACTTCAAACTTTTTTGAAGTGTCAACTAACGGTCAAACAGACTGAAAGTTGACGATTTGGATATTAAATTGTTTTCGAAAAGGTTTGATTATTATATTGTTTAAAATGAAAGGTTTGGATATTAAATTGTATTTACCCTTTTTTTTAAATGGTAGTCATTTTTTTCCGTGGTGATTTTTTTTAAATGGTAGTCATTTTTCCCCGTAGTGGTAGTGTTATTGTCGTATTGGTATTGTTTTTGTCGCATTGATATTATTTTTGTCGCATTGGTATTGATTTCGTCGCATTGATATTGATTTTGTTACATTGGTATTGATTTTGTCTCATTGGTAGTGATTAAATCTGCAATGGTATTGATGTTTTGTGAAATGGTAGTGTTTTTATTTCTTGAATGGTATTGATGTTTTGTGAAATGGTAGTATTTTCTTTAATGGATTGGTATTGATTTATTGTTTTGTTGTTGCAGCGGTATTAGTTTGGATGAACGAAATCAAGGAAAGATTGAGAAAAAGAAGGAAGAGACTAGAGAGATCTAGCTGAAAAATTGTGGAAGTGAGAGAAAAAGAGAGAGAGAAAAATTGTATTTAATATATTTATGTAATTTCCTAAAATGTAATTTATTAAAAAAGATCATTAATAAATTTTTTGTTATACCCAATTTGCCCTTAGTAACCACGGTGATTACTATAAAATAGTAATCACCGTAACCTGTCCCCTGACCAGATTGTACATGCGTGGTCTAGTATGGACCGTATAGTTTGTGGTATAATATGTGGTCTATACTCCACCCTCTTGGTCTACACCATAGACTGTATATAGTCTGGTCTAGACAAAATTTATAATAATTTGGTTCGTTCCTTGGTCTTGTGAATTTTATAATTACTGAAGAAAAATATACCGAATTGACATTTCGACTGGACCAAAGCGGACCGAATGCACTATTGGTCCAGTCCTTGGTCCTAAGATATCTTTCACTATTGGACCACAATTTTCCTGAGTTTGGTCTGATTCGGTTACTATCCGATGCCCATTCCTACGTGTAGTGGCATAACAAGTTCTTTCATTGATAATCCGATTATGTATGTGCTACCCTGTCTAGTTGAATTCCCAGATAAAACTGCTAGTACCAGGTGAACTCATATTGCCAAATTAGAAGAGAAGAAAATGATTGAGAGATTGGGTATGGTGCTCACTAAACCTCCGTAATATATAATAAGTTAGTCTTATATTTGAGTCATTGTACCTAGGGATGGCAATGAGTCGGGTTGAGTACATAACTAATAGAGATTTGAAAGGGACAGAGGATTTGGGAAGGGGAACGAGATTGAGAGGTCGACGATGACATGATTTTCCAATTTGGAAGGGACGGAAGAATTAGGGATTTCGATGTGTAGATCTATAGGAAGAACAAAGGTAGAATGTAGGATGAGGGCGGCAACCGGTAGGGAAAGCCATAAGGCGGGGGACACAGTGGGAGGGGAGAGGTGGGGAGCGAGGTGTCGGCGTCGTAGGGAAGGAATCTCCAGCGGTGGGGTGTAATAGGTCGAAAAGGAAAGGGTAAAGTAGATTTTTTTAAATAAATAAATAAATAAATATATATATATATTCCACGTCACATTGTCACGTCGACAAAAATTCACCATGTCATCAACAACCGTTTGTTCAGTCAGCAGTCGTGACAGTGTCATTAAACTTTTGGATGGAATCGCTATATGAGTTTATTTTTCAAAATTTGGATATGTTTGTCACAACGCGAATATTTATGGCTATAAAAGTGTATTTTGCCAAAATAAAAGTCTAAAATCAGTTTTTTCATAAAAAAAAACACCAATCTAGAACATACAATCAAATTATAAAATATCCATACAAATTGTTCAACATTAAAGATAAACATCTATAAAGAACATGATTAATTGAAAGCTTCTTCTTCCTTATCAACTAAACTTCTTTACTCTCCACTCCAGAATATCAACTTTATACTCTACACAATTAGGAAGAACAAATTGTACATGTCTTCACAAACATAACGATGATTAGTTGCTTAAGAAAAATATATTACTTTGAATATTATACCCCAAAAAATTAATTATATTGGTGTGGGCGGGTACCCATGAGGCGGGTATGCCTAAACTAGGGGTAGGCATTCGGTCGGTTCGGTTTCGAATGAACCGAAATTATGAATACCAGCTCCCCGAAATTTTCCCAAATCTCAAACCGAATTCGAACATAATTATAATTCGGTTCGGCTTGGAATTTCACCCAAAACCGAATTTGTGGCACTACTTGTATCTTCTCTCTTTTAAATTATTTTCACCCCCTAATATAAACAATAAATATGCAATTATATGCATCATACCAAATCCCATCAATCGAATCACTTTTTCGAGAAATACAAGACATCTAAGTCATACAAGTAAAGTATTTATTCATTGATAAGAAAAAATCAAATATTTCAACATCATAAGTCATAAAACACTAACATGATTCAAATAAAACATGTTCTTACCAAAAAAAAAATATAATAAAACACTAACATGATTCAAATATTTAAGTCTCAAAACAATTACAAACATAAAAATCCACCATTTGTAGCTTGCAATTATAGTAATTTGGTTTTTCGACCGGAATTTCGGCTGAAAGAATCCTAGTTCCGAAATATTCATATTTTCCTTCCGAATTCCGAACCAAACAGCATTTCGGTTTCGATTCGGTTCGATTTAATTCAGTTTCAGTTTGATTTCGATTCGGGTTTATCGAACTGATTGCCCACCCCTATCATAAACCCAAACCAATGAATAGTGCAACGGGTTTAAACCCGAACCCCGACCTAAAAACTATCAACACGGATTTTACACCCTTTGACCGGATTGAGTCGAATAGAATATCGGTGAGTTCGAATTTTGTTGTCATCCATATTTGTACCATATCATTTGTGCTTGCCTTGTCAAATGGCAAAAATAGGAAAAGAAAAGAGTGGCGGGCTGGGTGGGCTGTTAATTGGGCTAGGCTTGCTTTGGATATCTCTGTTGTTTACTGGGAATGAAAAGGCCCACCCTAATTTCGAGGAGAGACGGAAACCCTGAGACGAGCGAGACATATAGGGAGAAGAAGCGTTACCGTCCTCCAGCCGTTCACAATCAACTAAACAATGGTTTGGGGAAAAGATAAAATCTCGGAGAGGCAGGAGATGGGAGAACCTCCTTCGCCCAAAAAACAAAAGTCGGAAGATCGACCTGATCATCATGACGAGCAGCTGGAGGTTGGTGCGGCAGATCCGCCGCCATCGTCATCTTTTTCTTCTAGTGTGAGTGCGGCGCCGGTGGTTTCTCCGGAAAGGAACCTGCTGGATTCAGGAGCACCTGATCAAGAGGTGCCTGTGGGAGATGAGTCGTTCGAGAAACCGTCTAGTCCTATGTCCTGGTCCTGGTTGGGACTAGATCCTGAGAGCCCATGGCACGAGATAGTTATGAGGTCGATGAATACTGATTTTGGGTGAGTGTATTAATTTGCGCTGTTTGTTGTTCAATTTTTGGTGATGGTGTTATGCTTCATGTATCTGTATGTGTTACGTTGGAATAGTTGGGAGTGAGGTAGTTAGGCGTATTCTTGTTGTTCGGTAATTAGTTTCCTTCAGCCTGTTATCATGTGCATGTATGCTTCATTGGATATGACTTTACGATCATGATCTCACTCAGTCATATTGATTGTAGTTCTTCTTCGGAAGACGAGGACGGAGATCTAAAGCCCGAGGAGGAAGAAAGGATGAAAAGGGACACTCTAGGCCTTGCTGATATAGCTATAGAATACTACAACAAGAACGAAGTATGTTGTTTTGCTTTTTGTGTTTCTCAATCATCACTTCGCTAGCAGAGCATGTTCAATTCCCTGTTTCCCAGTCTATGGATCGAATTGCTTACTTATATCTATTATTGTTTGATGATGAACAGTGCGTGAGTTATGTGTTTGACAAGCCCTTTCTTTGCCGTTGCATTCTCTTTGAGCTTGTGATGGTTTTCCATTTCAACTTCACCGCCAAGGAGGAGAACGCCTCTCCCATGGAAGGGAACAACCCTTCCAGTCCGTTGTTTTTTGCTGAGGCCATCAGATACTACGGGGGAGATTTCAACATTCTCAAATGTGTCAAGTTGGATACTTCTGTAGACAGTAAGTAGTGTAGTTATTTGTGTATTGTTGGATTCAATCAAGTGTTATCAAATTGCTTCTAGATGGATGGTTAGATATCTCAAGTTGTTAATGATGATGCCTATTACTTTGCTTGATGCAGATGGTGTCCGCAATGGTTGCATCTATTGCCGTAAAGAAATTAAACATCCTCCTGTGGGAATATGCGAGTTTGGTGTGAACGAGATTGATGATTACATAAACTTAGAAAGACAAATGAAAGCAAACACCAGTCCATGACCAAGGAAGAAGCTGACTGACTGCCACCATTACCTCTCCTTCCCATACCCCAGATGCCGACCTGCTCAAGTAGTAAATTTCCCTTCTTGTTAGCTGCCTACCAAACTTAGTTTAACTTTTTTTTTTTTTTTTTGAATATGAGGAGGCTATGAAGCCAAGGAGGAGAGAGTACACAGCAGCAGCCACAACAGTGGCCAGAGGAACCAGAAAAGAAGGACGGTAGTTTATACACAATGTTTTGTAATTTCTAGCAACACAAACTGCAGAAATGCAATGTAACGGTGTAAAACCAGAAAAAACAGAATGGTAGAAGAACAGTTTGAACACAAACAGTGACTGAGCTTTAGTGCATCAGATCCACTTTTTCCATTTCGGTTTTGATCTGTTCTCACACATTACACCAAAAGGAAGAGGCTTCAACCTTTTTAAAGGCTCAACAACAAACCCTAGGTTGATCTGCAAGGTTGTCAACCAGCGGGTTGACCCGGATCCGGTTGAGCTAGTGGGTCAAGGGTTAATGAGTCACCTGTTTTAGCCCGGTTTAGCCCGGAAATATGAAAAGTGTCATTATATTGTACTTATCCTGATAAATTATATCAAATCTCATCTAACATATGAGTTATAACATATAATATTACACCAAAATAACATTTCGTACTTGGATTCAACATATAGTGAAAATTCACACACACTTATATAACATTAATATTCAAATGTTCAACTTAGGGTTCCAAAGATTGAGTTAGGCGAAAAGAAAAATCGGAAAATAGGCGCATTTCGCAAAACAAAGAAGAAAATGACACAATTTGACCTCCAACCCGGTACCTTGTGGCGGTCGACTCGGCGGGTGCGTGCGACCCGTTTTTCTCACCGGGTCAGGGTCAAAGTGGGTCAACCCGCGTGTCGACCCGCGGATTGACAACCTTGTTGATCTGCAACTACTAAAACAAACAAACAAAAGCTTAAAGACAAAACCAAGTACAAGGGTCACTTTCAATGTTCCCTAGAAACAAAACAAGAAGAGGCATTGGCAAACATGCCCTTCACAATGGTCCCTCAACATCCTTAGCTTCAATCCAAAGTTGCAGATAGTCCAAAACATCTTCCAGGTGGTTTCATCTTCATCTCTTCCATGCAAGCTTTCTCTGTTTTCTCTGTTTCTTCAGCAGCACTCTTCATTTCTTGTGCTCCAAGGCACAGATAGGTTGAGAGTGATCCACCTAGTGACATATTGCAACACTACTCCTTGCCAATGCCACTTACCATTCCAATCATGGTTTTCAAATCTTCAAATCTTGGTTTGCTCAGTGCCATGGTAAAAATGTCAGCAGACTGGTCTTGTGTAGAGCAGTGTTTCATAGAGATCAATCCTTCTGCTTCAGCCTCTCTAAGCACATGATACTTGATTTTAATGTGCTTAGTTCTTCCATAGAACACTGGATTTTTAGTCATGGCCACAACAGACTGATTATCACACCAAATGACAGTCGGTTTAGTTTGCTCAAAACCCAAATCTGCCATGATTTTCCTCAACCAAACAGCATGGTTGACAGCTTCTGAACCAGCAATGTACTCAGCTTCAGCAGTTGACTGAGCTACAATGCTTTGTTTCTTTGAACTCCAGCAAAAGATTGCAGATCCCAGTGAGAAGGCAAAGCCAGAGGTGCTTTTCATGTCTTCAGAAGATCCTGCCCAATCAATATCACAGAAACCTTCCAAACACACTTTCTTACCTCCTTCAAACTTCAAACCAAGATCAGTGGTACCTTTGATGTACCTTAGCAGTCTTTTAGCTTGTGTTATAGTGGATTTGAGTTGGAGATTGCATAAACCTTGCTAACAAACCAGAGGCAAACATTATGTCTGGTCTGGTTGCAGAAAGATACAGCAGGCTTCCAATCAAACTTCTGTAGACCTTAGGTTCAAATGAACCTGATCCATCTTCTTTTGTCAATTGAATTCTCACTGGAAGTGGTGTAGCAGCAGCCTTGGCATTCTCCATTCCAAACCTTTTTAAAACTTCATTTGCATACTTCTTCTGGAATATGAAAATGCCTTTCTCAGTCTGCTCAACTTGAATGCCAAGAAAGTAAGTCATCAAACCCAGATCAGTCATTTCAAATTCATTCATCATGCTGGTTTTGAAGCCTTCTATCTGTTTCACATTGCTTCCTGTGATCAGAAGATCATCCACATACAGAGAAATCATCACAGTTCCAATCTCATCAGTTCTCACATAGAGGGTTGGTTCACTTGGACTCTTAGCAAACCCAAATCTTACAAGATAATCATCAATTCTGGAATACCAGGCTCTTGGAGCTTGTTTTAGTCCATAGAGAGCTTTCTTCAGTAGGTAGACATGATCTTCTTTCCCTGGAATCTCAAAGCCTTCAGGTTGCTCAACATATATTTCCTCCTGTAAATAACCATTCAGAAAAGCAGATTTCACATCTAGCTTATGCACTTTCCAATTCTTCTGAGCAGCAATAGCCAGTAGGAGTCTTATAGTATCTAGCCTTGCTACTGGTGCAAAAGTTTCACCATAGTCAATACCAAACTGCTGAGCATACCCTTTAAACACAACTCTTGCTTTGAACTTGTTGAATGAACCATCTGAGTTTAATTTAATCGTGTAAACCCATTTAGTTCCTATCACTTTTCTTCCAACATGCCTTTTAACTAGAATCCAAGTTTCATTTTTGTCAATCATTCTGCATTCTTCTTTCATGGCTGAGTTCCAGCCTTCATGCTTCAGAGCTTCTTGAACAGACTCAGGTTCTTCAATGGCCATGTTGCATCTTTCATACACATTGATCAACGTTCTCATGCCTCTTACAGGCGTGTGATCATAGTTATCATGATCACTCTGATCATCTTCTTCAGACTCCAAATCCTCAGGTTGATCTTGCTCAAGAACATGGTCTTCATCAGCCTAAGGTTCTGGCTCATCATCTACATCTTGGTGATCTTGAAGTTGAACTGTCACCAGATCATAGATGTCTTCAGATTCATTTTGAGGAGATGACCAATCATGAGTGGCCTTCTCATCAAAAATAACATCCCTGCTCAATTGGTACTTCTCAGTTGTTGGATTGAAAATCCTGTAGGCCTTAGACTCAGTACTGTAGCCCACTAGAATTCCCATTTCAGACCTGTGATCAAGTTTGTCCCTTTTTGGAGCTGGAACATGAGAGTAACACACAGATCCAAAGGTCCTGAGATGAAATAGACTTGGTTTGAATCCATTCCAAGCCTCATAGGGAGTCATCCCTTTAACTGACCTTGTTGTTAACCTATTGAGCAGGTAGACTGAAGTGTTCACAGCTTCAGCCCAGAACTTCTTAGGAACATTCTTCTCAAACAACAGGCATCTAGCCATTTCCATAACTGTCCTGTTCTTTCTTTCACTTACTCCATTTTGCTGTGGAGTATACCTGACTGTGAGCTGATGAAGTACACCCTCTGAAGCCAGCAGCTTCTCAAAGGCTAGAGAGGTGTATTCTTTCCCATTGTCAGATCTCAAAGTTTTAATCCTTTCATTGCTTTGATTTTCAACCATAGCCTTAAATTTCTGGAATTTGGGAAGAGCTTCAGACTTGTTCTTTAGGAAATAGACCCAGCAGTATCTTGTCAAATCATCAATGAATAACAAGAAATATCTACTTCCACCCCAAGATTCCATCTTGAAAGGTCCACATATATCAGTGTGAATCAATCCAAGCTTCACAGGAGCTCTCCAAGTGTGTTTCTTAGGAAAGGGCAACTTGTGTTGTTTTCCAAGCTGGCAGATTTCACACACACCTTCATTCAACTCAAGAGCAGGTAAATCCTTTACCAAACCCTCTTGAGCCATTTTAATCATAGTATGTTGACTGAATGACCTAGTCTACTGTGCCACAAAGCAGATTGATCATTTCTAGTCACTACAGCCATGTTGGCAGTTTTCATTTTCAGGGCAAAACTCCTTTGAATCATAGAGAGATCAAACAGTTTATCTCCCTTTGAATAATACACAACACAGGACTTGTTTTGCATTTCCAAAGAGTAACCCTTTTCAAGCATTTGTCCTACACTAGGCAAGTTCTTAGCTAGAGCAGGAACAAATAAAACTTCAGGGATTACCTTAAGTCCAAAGGCAGTTTGCACTGAAACTGGTCCTCTACCTTCAACAGATAGTAGATCACCATTTCCAATCTTTACTTTAGACTTGTAGGACTTGTCCAGATCAAGAAAATACTCCTCATTGTTGGTCATATGATTTGTACAACCAGTATCCAGAAGCCAGTCCTCACTGCTGCTTGTAGCTATGAAACAGGTAACCATAAACATCCCTTCTTGCTTGTCCTGTTCATTGGCTTCTGCAACAGCCACTTGTTCCCTGATACTCTTGTTTTTGCAGACCTTTTGAACGTGCCCTAGTCTTTTACATGACCTGCACTGCACATTAGGTCTATACCAGCAGTAGTTCTCAGTATGATTAGTTTTCTTATAGATGGGACAAGGAGGATAGACCTTCTTCTCAGTTGGTTTTTCAGTCTGCTCCTCATACCCTTTTTCTTCTTTCCAGGAGTTTTCTTAACTCCAGAACGTTTCCCTTTTGCCTTTTGTTGTCTTACAACCAAAGCTTCTTCTGAGTTGTCATAATTTCTGATGGAACTCCTCAACTCAGTTGCTTGCAAAGAGTTGATCAACTGAGTTATGCTCAGTGTAGACAGATCTTGAGTTTCTTCCAGAGTTGAGATCTTAGCCTCAAATTTTTCAGGCACAGTGACTAAGATCTTCTCAACAACCGTAGAATCATCAAAAGTCTCACCAAGCAGCCTTAGTTGATTCACATTTTTCATGATCCTATCCAGATAGTCCTTGATACTTTCACTTTCTTTCATTCTCAGACTTTCAAACTCTCTTCTCAGATTCAGAGCTTGCATTTGCTTACCTCTGTCAGACCCTTGGAACTCTTCTTGAAGTTTGTCCCAAGCTTCCTTTGCTGTTGTGCAAGTCATGATTCTGGTGAAGACTTCCTCGGTGACTGCAACATGGATGCAGGTAAGAGCTCTGTGGGTTTTAGCTACCTCTTCAGCATATCTGGTTTGCTGATTTAGAGAAGCATTTGTTGGAAGTGGATCCACCACTCTTCCATTCACAGGCTCCCAGATGTCATTCCCTTGCATGAATGACTTCATCTTAACAACCCAGATCTGGTAGTTTTTACCATTGAAAACTAGGGGTGAGATCAGAGAGAGGCCAGTTGAAGTCATTTCTGAGTAACTTGCAACTGGCAGAGGTCAAGAAAAAGAAGAAGAACACTCAACCCTCACAAAGCCTCACTGATTCACTCTAAAGAAAAAACCTCACGATCCCTTTCAAAGATCAAGAGGGCTCTGATACCACGTGTAGTTTATACACAATGTTTTGTAATTTCTAGAAACACAAACTACAGAAATGCAATGTAACAGTGTAAAACCAGAAAAAACGGAATGGTAGAAGAACAGTTTGAACACAAACAGTGGCTGAGCTTCAGTGCATCAGATCCATTTTTTCCATTTCGGTTTTGATCTGTTCTCACACATTACACCAAAAGGAAGAGGCATCAACGTTTTTAAAGGCTCAACAACAAACCCTAGGTTGATCTGCAACTACTAAAACAAACAAACAAAAGCTTAAAGACAAAACCAAGTACAAGGGTCACTTTCAATGTTCCCTAGAAACAAAACAAGAAGAGGCATTGGCAAACATGCCCTTCACAGTGGTCCCTCAACATCCTTAGCTTCAATACAAAGTTGCAGATAGTCCAAAATATCTTCCAGCTGGTTTCATCTTCATCTTCATCTCTTCCATGCAAGCTTTCTCTGTTTTCTCTGTTTCTTCAACAACACTCTTCATTTCTTGTGCTCCAAGGCACAGATAGGTTGAGAGTGATCCACCTAGTGACATATTGCAACAAGGACAACCTTCAGAAGGACTAGCTACTGTCAAACAAGAATATAACTTCCGGAAGCCAAACCTAAATCAATCAGTTCGGGTCAACAATGACCTGTCTTGGGAAGCTTGTCCCCATAGCGTCTTCACGAAGGAGCCTCTCAAGGTCTGTTGGTAATTCGTTTAATTCATGTGTACCGAAGGGATAGACGAGACTGTGCTTCGAGAGCCAGTCCGCGACTCTATTCCCTTCGCGATACGTATGAACCAAACGAACTAACCAACTCTAAGCTATCTGTCTTCGGATCATGGTCAAGAGAGTGGCATGAGGGTGAATCGGATCTGTTCTGTTCTCAATCAACTGAATAGCTAGCTTAGAATCCGTCTCAACAATTAGACAATGAATGTTCATTTTCCAAGCCAGTTCCAAACCTTTATGGAATGCCAAAGCTCTGAGAGGATGGCTGATCCTGAGCCAATGTTGCAGCAGAAGCCTCCCATCCAATCACCATCGCTGTCCCCGATACATCCTCCTGCTGCCATGAGGTTCGGAGAGCCCTGTGCTGCCCCATCAGTATTCAGTTTGCACCAACCAGCAGGTGGCGGTCCGATGAGCTTTTCTTCCCTTGCTGGCTTTGAGGACGTGCTGAATCTTTCAGCAGCTGCTTTCCAAGTTTTGGCCCAATCTTTTGCTTTGGAAACAATGTAGTTGACCAAGGTAGTTCTCGGCAATCTTGTTGCCTTGAATATGAAGTCATTTCGATGCTTCCATATGTACCAACATATGAGGGAGAAGAAGCTATTCCAATCACCAGTTTCATCTATTTTCTCATCTCTTTCCAAGTTCTGAGTCAACCAATTTTCTTGATCTGCTGCAAAGAATTGTTGATGGCTTTGCTGAGGTACTATCATCTCCCAAACTTGTTTAATCTTTTGACAATCCCTCAAGCAATGGATATTGGTTTCGATTTCTGCCTCACAAAGAGCACATTTGCAATTGGTGGAGAGGTGTCTATACTTTCTGACACTGTTGGTTGTTAATCTTCCTTTAGCTGCTGTCCAGATGAACAGTCGAACCCTCTCTGGTACTTTCAGCTTCCAGATCTCGCGCCAAGGTATTGAACTCGTGCTCGGGGTGTGGGTCCTTGCCAATTGATAGGCAGATGCAGTGTTGAAAGCACCCGATGCCATTGGTTTCCAAAATAGCCTGTCCTTCTCAGTGGATAGAGGGTCAAGCAAAAAGGCGCATAGCTGGTCCAAGACATCATTCGGTAGATAAGCTTCCAGTTCCGCAATTCTCCATTCTGTCTCATCATCCCAGTAATCAGCTACCTTCTACCCTTGAACTTCCAGGGGGATATCTACAATTGTCCTCTCAATTAAGGGTACCTGCAGCAACCAAGGATCCCACCAGAAATTGGTCAGTTTGCCATTTTTGACATTAAAAGCAGCTCCCTTTCGGATAAGCTGGGCAACTCTATTAAAACTTTTCCAGTCGTGGGAGCATCCCTTTTTTCCCTTCAAAATTTGAAGCCCTTTTCTGTCACAGCTGTATCTGCTTTTGAGGGTTTTAGCCCATAACACTTTGTCTTCTGTGATCAATCTCCATGCTCCTTTCGCCAACATTGCTTGATTGGCTAGCCTAGTGGGTTGGATTCCAAGACCTCCTTGAGCTCGGGGTATAGTCACTTGATTCCATGCCACTGTGTGAAGCTTGCTTTTGTTGTCCTCTTCTCCCCAGATGAAGCGCCTGTTACATTTATCGATAGAATTGCAAACACCTGCGGGGAGAGATTCGAAGAACATAGGATAAAGAGCTACATTAGAAGTTACAGCCTTAACCAAAGTCACCCTGGCCGCCATGGATAAGTGTTTTGACTTCCAACTAGCCAGCTTTCTCTGAATTTTAAGTAAGAGCTCCTTGTAGCGGTTCTTTGAGATTCTGCCATTAATCGCCATTAGCCCCAAGTATCTCCCTACATCCGAGGTAAGGGGGATCCCTGCCCGAGTGCTGAGGTGGAGAGCCTTGTTTCTGGCGATGTTGGGGGAGATGAACATGACCGATTTGCTCAGATTAACCCGTTGTCCTGAGCTGGAACAGAAATC